TGTTTCTGTATCTTAGGAATGTGTGATTTAAGCTCTTATTATTACATTCTCTGGATAATAATCATTTGTTTTGTTTTCTGCTTTATTGATTTTTCTATAAATTCTTGCTACTTTTATTATTGTATAATTGTCAAGAAGAAATTATTTTGGACTTCAAGCTGTATTGAATTTCATGTTTTATATGCAAACCGTGACAGCTTGCTGGATTTAAATTGGAGGTCATCAAAACAACATCTGCTGGCCATGCTAAAAAGCTGGCATCTACTGTTGATATCAGCACATGCCCTGATGGTAGTACTACCTGAATATTTAATTAGTTGTTCTAGTTTTGCTTATGTTTCAAATGATTGTCATTATCATCTTATTCTTTAACATGAATCTAAACCACTCTACTTCCTTTCAGGAATAATATGTGTTGGTGGTGATGGGATTATCAATGAGGTTAGCCACGTCAACTTTGGTTAAATTCTCATTCTTGTTTCCTCTTTATTTGTTTTTTGTGGATAATCTTTATACCGTCCAATGTGCAAGAAAAGCACTTGACCAAGCGATATAAGGTGAATATAAATATCGATCACCATAAGTAACTAAAAGTCATCATCATCAAACATAACTCTATATATTTCTTTCACTTTAATGTTTGCCTGAATAATTACCGCCTACGGCCTGCTCTTTTTCATTGTCATCTTCCTCTTCAAAAGTTGATGGGGAAGTTAAAACCTTTTTAACTCTGAACTGTATCTCGCTTGCATTCTAGTATAATTCCTTCCGAGACCTGCAGTACTTTACCATCATTGGATTTTTTATCTCCATTGTAGGGGACGGGTGAGGATTTTATGGTACCGGAAGCATCGGTTTAGAATGTAAAGCTTCCTTGTTCTTTGGGTGTTGAGTATTATTAGGTTTTGTGATGGTGTTTCTGTTTTTATCAGTAAGTTACTTGATTTTGATAAATGTGTAGGCCCTAAATAGCCTGCTCAGCAGAGAAAATCAGAAAGAAGGAATTTCTATTCCTATTGGAATAATACCAGCAGGGTCTGATAATTCATTGGTTTGGACTGTTCTTGGAGTTAGAGATCCAGTCTCTGCTGCAATTTCTATTGTGAAGGTAATGCTACTTGGTATTCAAGACGGAGATTGCTTTGTGTGCTGGTTATTCTGTTACTTCCTCTATAGATTGATTTGTAGTATTTTTCACAACCATTTTGATCCATGCGTCTGAAATTGATTAACACCTTAACACGTTGTTGTGAATAACTGAATACCACAAATTTCTTCTTATAATTGTATCAAATTCCTACTTGCCGTTTTGTTTCCTTATAATTGAGCTCTTGTTGGTTTCAGGGAGGTCTAACCGCTATAGATGTTTTTGCTGTTGAGTGGATTCAGACTGGTGTTATTCACTTTGGGATGACCGTTTCTTATTATGGTTTTGTCAGTGATGGTATGTATTGGAGATCCTGGTTAACACAATAGAATTCTGTCGGTTTCTATATCCAGTCAACCTCTGTTCTCTTCAAATGTGTTCTATATATGTTTTGATGCTTCAATCTAGGATACCTTGGCATCTCAAGATGTGCCTGAATAATACTTGCTATGATGCCTGTATTTTGAGTGTTAGTTAACACCTACTGACTTTTAGAAGGGTGACTAATTTTCCTTTTCAACTTTTTGACCATTGTCATAGTTTGTGCCTATGATTGAAATCAAGTCTGAATTTTTCTTAGTCTAGCCATCTTTGCGGCTTTTGTTTGAATCTTTTGGTTTTAAGTTGCCTAAGGCACATTAGATTCAAGGAACGCATATATGTAGAATGTTTGAATGAAGAAAACCTTTTATGAGTGTATATATGATGCTGCATAAAGCATCTCCATATTATTGTCCTTTTACTGTCTCCTAATGTGGGAATTATAAACTGTATGTTTGTATCTTTTTCTCATGTTTTGCATTCTTAGAACTTTCTGAGAAATATCAGAAGCGATTTGGGCCACTGCGATATTTTGTTGCGGGGTTCTTAAAGTTATTGTGTTTGCCAAAGTACAATTATGAAGTAGAGTACCTTCCAGCAGCAAAAGAGGATCGAGAAGGTAAAATCTCTACTGATAGGGAGGTAGTCGACATGTCAGATCTGTATACCGATGTTCTGAGGGGGTCACACACAGATGGCATTCCCAGAGCTGCTAGTTTATCTAGTATTGATTCCATGATAACTCCTAGCCGAGTGTCTATGGGTGAGATGGACAGATATAGTAGCACTCATGCCAGCACTGAACCATCTGAATATGTACGTGGCCTTGATCCGAAGACTAAATGGTTGTCATCTGGGAGAAGCAATGTAACAGCTGAGCCTGAAGTTATTCACCCTCAGTTACCACTCTCAACAACTCCAAACTGGCCAAGGACCAGATCGAAATCTAGGACAGATAAAGGATGGAGTGGATTGACTGCAGAACCTGATCCTTCTAGATGTGCTTGGGGCAATGCTGCAACAAATGATAGAGAGGATATATCTTCAACATTGTCTGATCCAGGTCCAATTTGGGATACTGAACCAAAATGGGACACTGAAGCAATTTGGCATAAGGAAACTGCAATTGAGTTACCAGGGCCACAAAAAGATGTTGAGTCAGGAATAAAGAAGGAAGTTGCCCCAAGATTCGAAGATAAATGGATTGTAACTAAGGGGCCATTTCTTGGCATCCTTGTGTGCAACCATGCATGTAAAACGGTGCAGAGTTCTCAGGTGGTGGCTCCAAAAGCCGAACATGATGACAACACCATGGATGTGATCTTAGTTCATGGGAGTGGGCGACTTCGGTTGATAAGATTTTTCTTGCTTCTACAGATGGGTAAACACCTTTTACTGCCCAAGTTCAAGATTGTTACTAAAACTGTTGATGCAACTGGTTTGAAGTTTGAACATGTGTATATTGATGCATTTGAATAGGGAAAGTTAACCCGTATGCATAAATATCTGCAGAACCATCTAACTGTAGCAGCTTCTATTACAAATGGCAGGTAAAATCGGTTAAAATTAAGGCTGGGAAACACAAGCATAATGGTTGTGGCATTGATGGTGAGTTTTTCCCCCTCAATGGAGAAGTAGTGTCGTCATTGCTTCCAGAACAGTGCAGATTAATCGGTCGATTCCCTGGCCACCATTTATGATGACCAAGAGACATGTTTTCTCTTGAAATGTTCTTTTTGTCATATCTAGGATGCAAATCCTTTCGTCTAGACTTGCGGCATCGGAGTATCCTTGTGCCATTACATACAATGAGGGTTTCTGTAAATATCTTTTTTTGTTGGGTTTTTGTATCTGGTGCCTGTTTATTTGCTTCTTTTAACTCCATCAGTTGCTGATATCAGTGCTGAGTGTGAACCTGTCTCCACGATCTGCCCTTTATCCATATCAACAACATTCACATCCGAGTAACTATAATCTGTGTGGGTCTTGACATGAACCCACAGTTACCCTTTCTCTTATATACCGATTCCAAGGCGTTTTCTACGGTTCTTTCGGACTCGCATCGAGAGCATTCGTTGCTTCATCAAGAAATATATTCGTAAATTTTATTGTATGCATACATACATACATACATGTGATAACTTATTCCACTAATGATTTTCCCACTTGTTATATTTGTATCAGATTCTCCAATCTCCTTGCAGAAACTCCTGTAATTCCAGTTAGCCTTGTAAGTGATCGAGAGAACTGAAATTATATTTTAAATCCCTTTTGATGAATGAAAATGCATCGAGACCCTTATGTTGGATAAATTAGTCTTTAATGGTTGATTGTATGGTTGCTCGCTTATTTGATTTAATTTCGATTTGACTGCAACTAATCCTTCGATTAGTTAAAGAAACATCCACTGTCCGTTTTCGATTAAATTAGATTAGGGGTGTTATAATAATATTTACCAACTGTTTCTCTTTTAAGAGAACACATGCGGCGAGGGGATTAGTCGTTACTATTGACGGTAAATACCTTGATTTTAACTAAAAAGGTATTATATTAACATCAAATATTTAAAACAAAATATTTATTATTTAAAATTTTATTATATTAATTGGGCTTCAAAACACATGAACCTATGACCAATTGGATATTGAAATAACATCAATAACAATCAAGCTATCTTCTAGATATTAATTTTATATAAAAAATCATATTTTAAATAGGGATTTATTTTTAAAAAGGACATATACTTTTAAAAATGTAAAAGTCAATTCATAAGTGAAGAATATTTTATGTTAATCTATTTTCCATGAACAAATGTAAAAAATACAGAAAATATCTTAAAAAGCCACTTTTGATGAAACATACACACTCAAAATATAAATAAAACGTGTATATTGTTTTTTATTGAAAATTAAAAGAAATGCCATGCTATCATAGTGTTAAAAAATAAATTCATAAATTTTAAATTGAAATTTGAAAATTGGAAATTTTAAAATATATAAATATTAAGTAAAAAAAGAGGATAAAATACAATTTTAGTCACCCGACTATCAGTTTGATTTTATTTTGGTCACTCAACTATTTTTTTAAAATTATACTTGAGATTATATTTTGGTTTTATTTTAGTCACCGTTGTTAAAAAATTAATAACGATATTGACATGTCACTATAAGGTAATATCATATCATCATTGAAAAAATAAAAAAAATTATCACATCAACAGTTCTGTTTATTTTTAACGGTGGATGACTAAAATGGAATTAAAATATAATATTAAGCATGATTTTAAAAAAATTAAGTGATCAAAACAGAACAAAAATAAAATCTAGGTGACTAAACGCGTAGTTTATCCTAAAAAACACATGGTAATAACCAAATAGGTGACCCTATCTGCAAATATCCGAGAAAATCACACAAATGCGCTATACCGGTGGCAACCACTACTCTAAACAAAAGATAAAGGAAGAATCGAACTTTATCACGCCACTTCTTCCATATTATACAATCCAAAACCCACATTTTTCGTTTTCACCACCAAACTATTTCATCTCTTCCCAATTCCAAACACTTGCATACGACGATCTGTAACACAGTCACCATGCCATCTACTTCAACAGTGGCTCCTCCAACACCGCCCACCGCTCACTACCTTGAAGCCCTGTTAGCCTCCTCACGTCCCTTCCTTCGTGGCGAGCTTCAATCGGTGGACGACAATCTTCCTTCTTTGGTCACCGTTCTGCGCTCCGTTGGTGCCGGAGAGTGCTGGCACAAGCACGGTAGCTTCTTAGAGCATCTGCTCGATATCTATCGTATCCTCAAGATATGGAAAGCTCAAGACCCCGTTTGCCTATGCGGCCTCTTTCACTCCGCCTATTCCAACTCTTACGTCAACCTCGCCATTTTCGACCCTTCCACCGGCCGCGACGTCGTTCGAGCTCACGTCGGTGACGCCGCCGAGCGTTTGATTCATTTGTTCTGCATCGTCCCGAGACAGTCTTTGATCCACGACGACCTTGTGTTCAAGTATTCGAATTCCGAACTCGTCGAACATCTCGGGGCGTCCGAGGTTTCGTTGAAGAACGCGAAAGAAAAGGGCGTTTTCGGCGACGAGGCTTGGAGGAAGAAGATAGGTAAACTATTGCCTGAAAACGGGATCGTAGTGAAACACATAAAGACCGGCGAAGACGTGCCGGTGTCTCGAAGGGTGTTGGCCATTTTCCTCCTGATGACCATGGCGGATTTCAGCGACCAACTATTCGGGTTCCAGGATGTATTGTTCGAAAACCACAATGGTCGGCTCGAATTCGCAGGGAACTATAACGTTGCCTTATGGCCTGGAAATGGCAAACCAGGGCTGTGGGTGAATTCGATATCGAGAATGGGAGCAATCTACAGTTTAATAGTCCGAGAGGAAGAGATTTTCATTGAACAAAGGAAAAGAACAGGCGGCGTTGGGGTTGAAACCAAGAGAGATGAAGAGATCGAGCTTGTGGTGCCACCGGTTTTCGACAACTGTACCAAGGTTTTGGACGAGCAAGAGCAAATAGAAGCCAGAGACTTGTACTGGGAAGCTGTTTGTGATGATTCAAAAGCAGGGCAGGAGCGAGCGGAGGAGTTGTTGTTGAGCAGCATTGAGAAGAACCCATTTGTGGGGGAACCACATGTGGTATTGGCTCAGGTTTATTTGACGAGAGGGAGGTTCGAGGAGGCTGAGAAAGAGGCTGAAAAGGGTCTGATTTTGATGTTGGAATGGAGCAGTCCATGGGACAAGAGGATGTCTTGGGAAGGATGGATTGCTTGGGGAAGAGTTTTGTTGATGAAAGCTAAAGACAAGTGTTGGCCACAAACTTCTTGGGGTGTCCTTAATCTAGGCCTTGTTAAGTAACATGGCTTCTTTCCTCTTTTGTTTTATGCATATTCTGAATAATAATGCAGTGAACACAACACTGTACGTGTGTAAGTTGCAAGGCATGTCCATTATCTACTTTGTTTGTCAATAATATGATGATATGTTGGTGATTAGTCGGGGGATCCTTTCCCTGGTTAGTACCCCAGTTCTTGGTTATAAATGGCAAAAATCCTAACGGAGAGAAACGAAAGATATCGTTTCTATTCAAAGATAAAGCAATATTGTTCTTATCCTATATATGTATTTGGGATCAAATCTTAGCTCCATTCTCAAAGATTTCCCGTGACTAGTGCAAGCTCCACTTACCCACACCTTTGGGTCCACTTCAAAAACTCACACTCTAACCTAACCACACTCCAATGGGCAAGCCCAATTCAAAGTTTGTTCACAAAAAGTCATAAACTCCGCTTATCACATATTTTTTCTTTAAATCAAGTGGATTCGTTGATAAAAAAAATAATACTATTTTCTTTAGAGGTCTTATATGTGTTGGTTATCAACTAATTAAAAATATTCTGAATAAATGTTACTTTGTAGTCACAAGAAAATAATCATAGGTTATATCAAGTAGATCCATGATTTCTTATGAACGTTACCACGAACCGAGCCGGGACGGACGGACGGTGGCAGTGGTGCACGAGAATCCCCTTGTTCTCTATCACTCAACAAGGGAGTGAAGAATGCAAACCTTAAATACCCATGCATCCTCAATAGTGTTTTCAACTCTATATATGATTGAGCATTACCAACACTTAAAAGTCTCGAGTTCGAACAACTACATCTGTTGGGTATGTGTTTTGTCAATGACTAAGAAAGATTCTGAACAGATATTATCCATCTATCATATCTACATGATCAATAACTTAACATTTTCATATTACTTATGATCATAAATCATATCATGTCATCCCTTCCTTATTCATCATATCCTTTCATTATTATATTCATTTTTTTACATACGTACACATTCATAGAACTTTATCATTGTTTATATATTTCTTAGCAACTTATTGATCAGCATTGTTCATACTTCATATTGTATCATGTCATTGCTATCATACATGTGCATATATAATATACAAATTGTAATTTTTTTTATATCATTTCACTTTCACTTTTATTTTCATATTCATGTGGATAAACAAGCTCGACATAATTTGTAATTATACATAAAGCATCATTGCTTTATATTATAAATACAATTCAATCATGTCACGATCTATCATACTCTACGTACTTGTGTTCATACATTATTTCACATAATAAAAAAAAACATATAAAACACATTCAGAAAACATAACTTATTAGGTCATCTCTTCATTCAGTACATAGATCGCAATAAGCTAAGTCATTGAATCATAATAAATACACTTAAAATAAACAACTAAAACATTAATTTATACTTTCCGATTGTTTACATTGTCTTCAAATAAATAAAATTATTTAATTTTAAACCCGTCTAAATCTCATTAATTTTATAATTAAGAAAAGATAAAATATATCAATTGAGAACTTTCAACCACGTACTACAATGATTATTGACACGAAGAAATTTTTCTTTCTTTGTCTCATAAGAATAACACATAAAGCGAGAGAGAGATTATCAATTTCTTACAATAATCTTTTATGTTTTTCTATAAGCATATATTTACTTCATTTTACAACTTTTATTCTTTTTTCTACACATAATCCATGTTATTATCTATAAATAAAATATTCAAATAATTCAAAAGTTCAAATTATCCTTGTTATTTTAAAATTTTCAATTTCATCCTTCAATCTTTTTTCCAATTTTGATTTATTTCTATTTTCCCTTCTTTTTTCTTTTTAAACCAAAATTTCTTATTTTCTTATCTTTCCAAGTCATCATCCTTTAATCTCCAACTAATGGGATTCTCTAATCATTAGTTACATTTGAATCAAATTATAATTTTAACTTTAGATAATTTTTAATCTAATCCTTAAAATTTTCTAAATCTACAACTTGGTCTCTTTTTAATTCAAAACTAATTAAAACTATACTTAACTATCATTTATGGATTAAAATCTCTAATTAATAAAATTTTATCCCTTTTTGAAAAAATCATTTTATCCTTATACTTTGTAATATTTACAATTTAGTCATTTGCCTCAATTTTAACACTTCTTCACTAAATCAGCATTCTATGCTTCATTTAATCGACTAATATCAACCAAATCTAATAATAGACTTGATATTTGATATTAAAATAGTATTTTTAGTATCGAATTTAACCAAAATCTGTTACCATAAAAATGAGCGTTACAATCGATAATTAACTAGTTTGTATGTCAAGTGATTTAGACTCTGATTAGCAACTAATTATTATCGACAACTTTACTCGTACCTTTAAAATTAGTTTGGGATGAATATAAGTAATATCTATTCAAAAACTTTTAACCATTTAACATTAAAGACACGTACTCTTAAATATGTGGTGCTTAAACCTAAAACCTTACGTGATAACAAGAATTCCTTAATCGCATGATCATATTACACTTAAAAAGGCCACATTAGGGGCAATCTTCAAAGAGACACATGCACATGATCATATGGTCAATATGTTTCCAATATGACCAAATCATGTTATCCAACATGGTTGGACCCCCACCCTCCTTACTCCAATCATAGAAAAAAACCGTAGGGGGGCTAAATCAACCAATTTAAAACTTTTTAATATGTGATTGGAGGATTTTGGGACAACAATATATGTATACATGGGACGAATCAAGGGGATCGGCAAAATCACCTCTTTAAAAGTTTAAAATTTTAAATTTTTTATTAATAATATATTTTCAACCCTAAAATTTTATAAATTCACTTCTCAATATAAAAGTTTGGATTCGACCCTAAATGTATATATCAACTAGGGCTATAAATCAAAAGAGACAAATCACGAGTTACTTAAGATTGACTTGGCCAACACTCGGATTGAATAGACTCGAGCTTGAACTAGACTCGAATTCTTAACGAGCCAAAGCGAACTACTTGATATCCAACTTGAAAAACTCATGAGCAATTCAAAACATAATATATTAAAATTTTGTATTTTTTAAATAAAATTATCAATACTATTAATATTTATATGTTGTTTATATTTAAAAAAAATATAATATAAGATTTTCATATACTTAAGGTTCAAGTGCGAGCTCGAGTTTGAGCTTCAATCGAGTTAAGTCTAGAAATAATTCGAGTTTAAGTTTTTTCGAGCTCGAGTCGAGCTTTAATTTTTTTATTTCAAGTCGAGCTTGACAATTTTAAGCTCACGAGTTTTCGAATTCAATTTTAATTTTTTTTAATTAAATCAAATTCAATAATACTTCAACTCGAATCCTAATTTACAATCCTAAATTATCAGCAAACATCAACTTGGGGACTCCAAATTCCAAATCCTATATAGCAGAAGAGAGTGACAGTCAAGATGGTGGATTCTCTTGCGGGGTCCTAGGCTTTCCGGCGCAATCAACGCAACCCTAATTCACTCAATCTCAGCTCTTCTGGAACTTCAAAAACCACCACCACCACCACCATCATACATTATTTTTCGATACAGTTCATAATCCACTAAGGAGTCTTCATGGTTTGAAATTGCATGTTTGCATTAATGGTTAATAGCCAGACATTTTAGAATTTAGAGCCTACGTGAATCAAACTGAATAGCTCATGCATGCCAAACCAAAATCATGGTTTTGCAAAAGTAATAAAGGTGAGATTCAAATATTCAAAATGGTTTAACGTTATTTTTTTCTTCTAAATATACAGAGAACAACGCAATTTGAATTCGAGTCACCTAGAAAAAATAAAATTTCTTTTAACTACTAGAATCACTCTAAGGATTCTTAATTTTTCATATTTTTATATACATTTTAAACAAAATAAAAAAATCATTACTAAAGATTTAAACATGAAATTAATAAATAAAAATAAAAATATAATTCTTTTATCACACTATCTATAATAATTTATTGAATATATTTTTTTTAAATCTATCATATACGATATTTTTATTCACCGATATTATAAGGGTGCCAAATCTAGTATTTATCTATGCATCTATATTTCGCTATATATCTATGTATAGTCGCTTATCGTGTATGATCTCATAGAGTAAAGTCAAAACAATCCAATTCAAGATTTATTTTAAAGAATAAATATAAAAAATATACATGGACTTTGATCAAATGTATAATGACGTACATAACTCTTGATTTTGATTTTGATTCAATTGTATATATGAAGTTTTGATTTTAATTCAATTACTCATATTCTAAAAAAAATACAACTTATTTTTATATTTAATATATATATATATAATTATTTTTTTATATAATATTTAAAAGTGAAAGGGTTAGGACGCATTTACACAATGTAAAACTCTTTAATTTTACATAAATTTATGACCATTTGATGATTGAAAATAGATGGCTGAGATTAACTCATTGTTTTTTTTTTTTCAGTGAATATTTTCTCATTTCCTACTGTTAATCTCAGCAATCTATTTTCACTCATTGAACAGTCCTAAATATGTGTAAAACTAAAAGAGTTTTATATTGTGTAACTGAATCTTATCCCAAAGTAAAATGATAATTAATTGATAACAATTTTAATATTTTGATGAAAACGCATACAATCTCAATAGAAATGATTAATATAATTATTTTATTTTAAATTTTAAAGATTCTTCTTTTTGAAATTATAAATTTATCATATTCATATATATATATTCTATTTAATAAAACTAATTGTTATCCACAACGTTACAAAATTAAGAAAGTAACAAGCAGCTAATTTAATGATATTTTATCAATTAGTTTTATTTTGTCGTGTTGCTTTCTTTCTTTCTTCACCATTGATTATGCTTAAAGCAACTGATGACAACTAATATTCATATTTTCCTTTTTTTTATTTCTTTTTTGATAATTAATTTAAAAAAATATCAAAATAGTGAAAGAATGTGAAGGGAGTGGACTCACTGGCCCTTCAAGTCTCTGTCTTTCATCTTTTGTGGCATCAATTAGGATTTTCTTAAAGCCATTGGATGAGTCCCACTAAAAAGGATAAACTAAGTATAAGTACGAATATAACATGCTAATTAATTATTCCATTATAACACAAAAGTGTACATCTTTTATTAAAATTTTAAACCTATCAAGTCACCTTAATGATTAATGACAGTGGTAGAATTTGATGATAGAGTTTGGGGGACAACTTAAAATTTTAAAAAGTCTAGAGGTTTAAATTAAAATCTATAAAAAAAAATTGAAGAGTTTAGTTTGCATTTTTTTCAAAATAATTGGGTCTAACTAAATTTTTTGAAAATTTGAGAGACTTAATTAGAATTTTTATAAATTATGGGAGGGGTTTAATTAAGAACATTAAAATTTTTAAAGTTTAATATGAATTTCTAAAAAAATTATAAGGAATAAATTAAAATTTTAAGGGTCTAAATTATAATTTTTCAAGTTTAGCGAGGTCATGGCCCGCACTAGTCCTAATTATGTTCCGACTAATAATTAAAGAAAATGTTGTTCCCACTAGAGGTCTTGAATCCGAATAGTTACGTCTGAAAGCATGTATTGTCAATAGTTAATAAAGATTATGAAAATATTTTAATAAAAAACATGTATTGAAAAATTAATTTGGGATCTAAGTCATTTATTATAATATACTTAGAACTCCTCGTGTGGACGTAACGAGTTCCATACAATTTTCGTCTAGCTTACACAACGAATTTTAATATTCTAATATGTTTTATAAAACTCATGTGAATATGATAGGTTTCATGAAATACTATAATAAATTATTTAAATCTCAAATTATTTATCTATCAACTATATTTTCCTATTTTTTTTTTACAAATTTTGTTGCCTTAAATGTAGTGAATTTAGTAAAAGTTGGGTATCTTTTGGTAGGGATATACGGTAGTTGAATGTTGAAAGGATAGAGCGACGTGACTTGAAATACAAAGGAAGCAAATTTCAAGTTGACAAACTTTTCTAAGAATTTCAACATTTCTAACATCCCTAATACATCTTGTCTGCAATTTTAAAATTATTTATTATTAGATTAAACAAATATTTCTCAATTGTGATCCAAAAATTTAATAAGCCCTTCTTTGGTGCAATCTATTTCTTATATAGTTCATTTGGTACGATCCAATTTATTAATAGGGTAAACAACACATTTAGTACATAAACTATCATTTTTATTTTGTTTTATTACCTAAATTTTACTTTCTTTTAAAACCATAAATAATGTTTTGTTTAAATTTCAATTTAACATCCCGTCGTTAAAAACTTAACTGCACCGACGACATGTAATTTACATTACAAGACGTGTGGCATATCAAAAAAGGGAAAAATAATTCAATGTCATCGTTGCCGCTAAGTTTTTAACGGTGTGATACCATAATGAAACATAAACTAAACGTTAGGTGTGGTTTTGAAAAAAAAAATAAAGTTTAGATACTAAAACAAAATAAAAGTTATAGTTTAGATACTAAATATATAATTTATCCTTATTAATAAAAGGTCTATAATCTAAATAAATCTAGTTAAATTCAGAAATGGTAAAAATGATAAAAATTGGAAAAGAATAGAATAAACAATTGGAAAAGACCCAATCCCATGTGTTGGGTTTCCCAGCTTGCGTTTGCTTCTTTTCTACCGAAAGGTGATTGGAAATGAAAGCAACAGACAATTCAAAGGTTGAAGACAATATTCCACGGTCGGAAATTAGATAAAAGTTGAGAACCACCTTCATTTACAAGTTGGAAATTAAACAAAAAAGTAAGCTTCCCAATTAGGAAAAGGATCAAATCTAACATCTTCCTATGTTTCAGGGTTTATAGCTTAGGGTCTTTAAATTAACCACGGCTCCTCCTCATTCAATTTTGTCCCGATTCTCGTTCATATCAATTTAACAAGGGCCAGATCTGTTTCTACCGGATAATTTTTTTTGAGTATTACGTATTTTTAAACATCGTTGAATAAGAAATAAAAAGATATTCACTAGAAAATATGATCTCAATCGTTCATTTTCACTCGCTAAACATCCTAAAAATACGTAAAATTAATTTTTTTTCACTAAATAGTTCGTAACCCTTTTAATAATTAATTTTGTTAAACTTTGATAGCCTTATTTATTCTTATATAATAATAAATTTATATCGATAGTATTGGTATTCATCGTCGTGAATTAGATTTTATTGTTATTTGGTTGCATATACACTGTCACATGAAAATCTAATTGAAATAAGATTAAGTTTATATTATATGTTATTATTATTTTAAAAATCTATTAAGTGGTTTTAGAGATTAAAAAGGAGTAATGTTGTCTCATGAGGTCTTGGGCTTGAGCAGTTGTGTTTGCAGATTGTATGGTGTTATTAATGGTTAAGAAAAATTATGAACAGATACAATCTTACAATCAACTCTAATAAATTTGATGCTAAGTTGAACACGTGAGGACTTTCATAAGGGCAAGAGCCGAGCCCCCTTATTCACGAGTATTAATGGTGTCAAAAACATGAAGAAAAACAGTAGCCAAAGAAGAGGGAGTTAAAGGTACATATAATACACAGTATGAAGCCATGAACTTCAAGCCAATTGATTTACCAAAGAGACGATGGAATTTTGAATGAATTGCGCTCCAACGTTCAAAATGAAATTAGGATCCACGTGATTCATCAAACGGTCACAATTCCTCGTGTGAAAATCTTTAAACTTCGATTTAGCCATCACAGATTCTCGTTTTCCTTTCTTTTCGTGGCACTATAAATATGAGGGGTAAACATTGTTTACAATTCGCCACATTTAAATTTTTTTTCCTTTCTCTCGTCATCATCATACCTTCCTGTCTACGTGAAGCAAACAGAACAAGCCCCATGTCTGTTTTGCAAACTTTAGTTTTTCTTTTTCCATGATAGAACATAAATTTCCCCTTTTTCTGGTTTTCTCCCATTCAAAGTTCATCCTGTCAGATCCTGCATCAGTGGGAAAGCCCTATATATTTTGCAAAAAAATTCTCTGATTTGATCAAGACCCACCTTCCAAAATGCAGATTCTGATTTGGGTTTTTAAAGTTCTACTCGTTTGTTATACTTCTACTCTAGGAGTGTTTCCATTTCCACCATTGTCATTAGCTGAAACCATCTCCCAAGCACCACCTGTTTGCTCGGAGGTTGATAGAGCTGCGTTGCTTGGTTTCAAGGCCAAAATAGTGAAGGACACAACAGAGAGTCTCTCTTCATGGATTGGAAGGGATTGCTGTGGAGGAGATTGGGAAGGTGTTCAATGTAATCCAGCAGGGAGGGTCACTACATTGGCACTTCAAAGGCCTGCAAGGGACATCAACCTCTACATGAAGGGTACTTTGTCTTCTTCTCTGGGTAGTTTGCCTTTCTTAGAGGTGCTGGTCATTAGTGGGATGAAGCATATTTCAGGTCCAATCCCAGATAGCGTTTCCAAGCTAACCAGACTGACACAGTTGGTCCTTGAAGACAATTCCCTTCAAGGTAACATTCCTTTAAGTTTAGGCCGGTTATCCCATCTCCAGACACTCTCATTGGCTGGTAATCATTTAAAGGGGGCAGTTCCTCCAAGCTTAGGGAATTTGAGAAACCTTGTGATGGTGAATTTAGGGAGAAATTCCTTGTCAGGTCCTATCCCATCTACTTTCAAAACTCTTCTTCATTTGCAGTCTTTTGATCTGAGCTTCAACTCATTGTCTGGTTCTATCCCTGAATTTATAGGACAGTTTCGAAACATTACTTTTATCGACCTCTCCGATAACCACTTATCAGCTCACCTACCCATTTCCATGTTCAACTTGGTCAGTCTATCATATCTGTCATTGAGCCACAACCAGCTCACTGGAACCATCCCGGACCAGATAGGGAATCTTAAGTCTCTCACTAGTCTTTCATTGAGTAGCAACAAGTTTATAGGTCACATTCCAGCATCTATTTCAAGATTGCAGATTCTCTGGTCCCTCAATTTATCCAGAAATGGATTCTCTGACCCTTTACCAGATGTCTCTAGCAGGGGCATCCCTTCACTTTTGTCAATAGACCTGTCTTTCAACAACCTCAGTTTGGGGACAGTTCCTATCTGGATCAGAGACAGACAGCTTTCAGATGTAAACCTAGCTGGTTGTAAACTGAGAGGAAGCCTCCCAAAGTTTACAAGGCCGGATTCATTGAACTCCGTGGACTTGTCCAATAATTTCCTCACTGGGGGCATTTCAACATTTTTCACAAACATGACAAGTCTGCAGAGGCTGAAGCTTTCAAATAACATGCTGAAGTTTGATCTTTCAGAGCTCAAAGTTCCGGATGGGATTTCCTCTATTGATCTTCATTCAAACCAGGTATGCGGCTCTCTCTCGAGCATTTTAAATAACCAAACAAGCAGCTTCTTGGAGGTTATAGATATGTCAAATAATCGCATTTCTGGTACGATACCAGAATTCACCGAAGGGTTGAGTTTGAAAGTGTTGAATATAGGAAGCAACAAGATTGCAGGCCAGATCCCAAGTTCAATCTCAAATCTTGTTGAACTCGAAAGGCTGGATATTTCAAGGAACCTGATAACCGGCACCATACCAATAAGTTTGGGACAATTGGTGAAGCTTCATTGGCTTGATATTTCCATCAACAGTCTCACTGGAAAAATCCCAATTAGCTTGTTGGGCATTAAGATTATGAGACATGCAAGCTTCAGGGCAAATAGACTATGCGGAGAGATCCCACAAGGCCGACCTTACAACATCTTCCCTGCTTCAGCTTATGCTCACAATCTCTGCTTATGTGGGAAACCAATGCCACCTTGTAGGGGAAAGAAACAGGAGACAAATCAGTGAAATGCTGACTCAAATATGCCCAAAGTAGAAATATTAGTGTTTTTACAGCACTAGCTACATTTTTTTTTACCTTTTTCCACTAGTAATTTCAAGCACAATTTTACTAATAACTACTACGGAAACAGACATTGTTTCAGTATGAAGTTTTAACTCTATCTATGATAAATAAGTTATCTTTTTATTACTTACCAGCTTTGCATAACCATAAACCATTACATTGAGACAATTAATACTATGAAGCCTTCTCATGTCAAAATGGCTGTCCCTTTTTCCCATATATATATGGGGTAAGGGGAGGTAAGATAGTAAGCTACCCCCAACACCAGGTTGAGAGCAGCTTCCGTAAGAGACCTCCGAATTATGAAATGCCCTCCGTGGGACTCGATCCCACGACCTCAAGGTTAAGAATCTTGTGCTCTACCAACTGAGCTGGATGGTCATTTCTCAGCTTTCTCATGTCAAAGAAGACAATATAACATGATTGCCAAAGAAAGGAAAAAGATTCCTGTCAAAACCCCAACACCTACCAGAATCCATTACCTTCAAGGGGATGAAAAATGCGTATCAACCTCACAAAATGAGGGATGGATCCTTGGAAAAAACACTATGCCACCGAGGCACTGACTAACAATCATTATACTTCCTTTTCAACAGCATATGTTTCCTTCTCTGAACATCCTTCCTTCTAAACAAACAAGAAAAAGTTGATGATATCAGCTGTCAGCATATTTGATAAACGAGAGACCAATGGACCACCAGATGAATCAAATGCCAGCTCTTAAGAAATGCAGCCTTCCTGTTACTTCATCATTTTCTTTGTCGGCATTGTTAGCCTCTTAAGAAAATGGTTTCTGGTCAAACGCATCACTTATAATTGTTTTAAGTTAATTAAATTCTAGCTCCAATGAATATTAATTTTAAATAATGACCGAATATCAAGGACTTACTTCTTCTGACAGACCCATTTTAACAACCTTCCTTTGCAACCTAAATTTCATAGATGAAATGCTTAATATCTAAAAATTAAAAATAAGAACCATCTGATTACATCAGTGAGAAATGTGTACAGAGAGTTGTCTGCCAACTTAAACTCATGGAATTAAGCGAAAAAAGGCCAACGGAAGGGTCCTTACATGAATAAAAAGAAAGCAGTAGGAAGATGTTTAGGGGCATTAAGATCTTTGCTCTTCTTCAATTTCTTCAGTTTTTTCAGATTTGGTTCTGTTCATGAAGATTTATTCCTATATAAATATTAGTAAACATATATAAATTAAAACTAGAGTTGAAACCTCAAAGGAGTCTAAAATAGAAAACTCTATGGAAGTAAGAAAACACCTTTCAGCAGATTTCTTCTCCATTTCAGCAGGCGCCTCAACTTGAGCCTCTAAATTAAGGGGAAACCAAAGGAAAACCAAACTAATAATAAATCCCACCACCACTTCTAATAGATTAGGTAAACACAGAGACTAACCCAAATTCATTTTGATCTTACCATCATGACAACAGTTATGCAGAATAAGAGCCCCCAGTACAGCTTTGTTACACTCTTTCCTTCGATTCCCCCCCCCCCCTTTTGTTAGGAAAACATTTTGTGTGATCAACATAACACTTGGAGGTTTTCAAAATTTCATTGTCTTTGAATTACAGAAGTGATAAAGGGGCTTGCGTCTTTTGTGGAGGCTTAGTGAAGTGATGGGTATACCTCATCAACCATCATCTCAAAATATTTGTATGGCTCTAACTTGCCTCTCTTGTTACATAAATCCATGAACCATGACAACATAAGTTGAGACTGAAGGATAAAATCTTTCTATCTGCCATACTCTCCCACAACTCTGTTGCCCTATCAGAACTTCTGTATGGATAAGCAACTTGAGTAACGAATTATAAATGAGCCTCAGAATGTTAACAATGATAAGCCAAGATGGCATTGTAACATCATGTGTCTGGAATGATTCCCCTCTCAATTGCCTCAGCCAAAAGTTAGTTAGCCTCATCAATCTTATGATGCAATTGTAAGTGAACAAGTTTTGCATAAGATTGTATCTTCTCATTCCATCAAGCACCCCAAATGCTGCGTGAATATAGTTTCCCGCACAATATGCACGAATGAAAACAGATATATCTAATTTACCCCAAAAAATGTATATTTTCCATATTTTTTCAAACACACCACCACCTCCATTATATTCGAACCACCTTCCTTACAAAAAGAAAACCAAGCTTAAACGAACCCCGCCACAATCAAGTTTAGAATCTATAACAACTATTGACAGGGACACTTGGCTCCCACAATTAATGATTTACGAGGTCCATAAATCATATACTTCCTGCATGTGTTGGCCTATTAAATAATAACCCTTTGTTTATGTAAACGTTGGTGTGCAGAACTGCTATTTGAATTCCGTAGCCTATTAAGTTTCTGCATATTGATCTATTGTGCTTTCTGCATTTTTGAGTCGGAATTAGCAGCACGGTTTTCTTCTGAAAGTGCTGCTTTAGTGCTTCAGTGTCAGCTCCTCCAACAAGCTTCATCTCAGACTGCACAGAGAAGATCAATTTAGTTCCTGTCAGAACTCTACCAGAAGCATATGGATCTATTGTAGAAGATAGGGAAGAGTTTGTTAGAGATGCATGCTTAATGCCTTTCCATAGCTTCTTGAACAAGACAAATGCTTTTTAAAAAACAAATCATAAGACTGAATATGAAAATCTCTTTTGAGCTCATGAACAAGGCCCTTGGATAATGAAAATAAAGATTCTACCTCACCATGTATTTTCTTTTCAAACATGCATCTCAGTTGGAGTAATAAATTCTCTTTCAAGCTTATATATATTTCATTAATTGGTAATTTATGTCTGAATTGAAAATCAAAAAGCAATTGTTGTTCTGGGAGTTTTGCACACCAACGTTTACATAAACAAAGGGTTATTACTTAATAGGCCAACACATGTAGGAAGTATATGATTTACGGACCTCGTAAACCATTAATTTTAGGAGCCTAGTGTTCTTGGCAACAGTTGTTATAGATTCCAAACTTAATTACGGCGAGGGTTGTTTAAATGTGATTTTCATTTTGTAGGGAAGGTGGTTCGATCATAGTCGAGGTGATAGGGTGTTTGAAAAAAAATTAAAAATTAGAAAGTTTTCTAAGTAAATTAGATATAAAATCATTGTTTTAGAACATATAAGAATTTTTATATTAGGAGAAAAAACCCGAAATTTCAATCATAATCGTAGACTATAAAGATAAGTATCACATGACTTTATGGGTAACAACAGACCCATATTTATATTATATGAATATGCTTAGAAACTAAAAATTATGTTTGTAGCAAAATTAATCACTATTACTTTACAAGCACATCATTAGCAAACATTGGGGCCAAACCCCACGAACCCATTGCCTCCATCGAAGGAAATTTGGATCCCCTCTTGCTGGATGTTCCCAATTATTGAAAGTCCAGAGCCTGAGGGAGCAAATGCAAAGCAGAAAGTTCCCGCATCATCAACCGGAATGAGAAAGTTCCTTGCCGGTAGGGTCAGGATCGGTCCACCCGAAAAATAGAATGATATTGTCGGAACACGAACCGAGATGAAATCCGATAAATTATAACATGTATCGAAGATGGACACTCCTGAGGCACGGGGAAGGTTAGCTGTTTGCGTGATGAAAGCGTCACGAAAGGCGTTGTAAGCTGAGGTTGGGAACCTTGTCACGGAGGTGCCGGTGTCCATAACGACTCCTCCATACCCGAATTCGTTGAGATGAAAAATGTCTTCGGATATGGACACCGAAATACCTCCTACTCCGAGACCTGAAAGTCCGACATAGTAAAAACTAGGGGCTCGTGGGTTACGTAGCAAAGGGACCCATGAAGCCCCGATTGGCATTGCTCCACGACCGAATACCAATGACCCGGATGCATCGGTGCCCCGACTCACTAAACAATAGCTAAATGCACCACCTGTTTGACCACCCAATTGACCTACAAGTGACATGGATCCACCTCCAAGGCCCAACAAGCCGGCTGCCCCGATAAACATGCCCCGGTTAATATGCCCGCATCCGATAGCCACGTTTTTAACCACGGTTCGACCAAAAGTGAGCGTTTCAAGCGCCAGGGTCCCTTTCGTATAAGATCCATCACCATACGAAACTTCATACCGGCAGGATCGACCTGCATTGCAACCCGAATTCTGGATCCGATCACAAACGGAAGATCCACAAGAGACGCTGGAAAAAGAAGCGGAATCAGCCGGGTTGAAAACCGGATCGGATTGTCGATAGCATTGGTTACAAGGCTGACACTGGACCCAAACAATATCACTGCCCGAATCAGTAACCATATACTGACTTCTCGGAGGGCTACCAACGCCTATTCTCACGAAATATTCTCCACTTCCTTGTGCCATTCCCGAAACAACATCCGACCCAAAATCGTCCACCTCAAAAGAAGCGTCACCGCCGTGGTTTCCGTCGCCGGGGAGACGGCGGAGGAAGCCTGCCACCCTTTTCACGTCCCTTTCCATACGTGCTTGAAAACGGAGGCGATGGTCGTGCAAAGTAGAGGTAGCGTTGGAAGATAACTTGTCTCGATGGACGAGATTCAGTTTCCATTTCCCTGGACGATCAGTTCCGGTAACGTTGGAAAGTTGATGAAATTCAGATGGTTTGAGAGGCTTAAACATCTTCGTGTCTAAAAGAGTTTGTTTGACGTTCAAGAGTTGAAAAGAGGTAGTGCCGATGCCGATGCTACATAGAGATAATTGCAGCATGGTCACCAGGATTGTTAACATAGCTGGTGAAGCTAATGACATGGTGGTTGAGGATGGTAATGGAAAGGGGGGATTTATTTAGGCCTAGAAGAAGAAAGACATTTGGGGTTTGGAAATTGATGTTAAAGGCTTAAAGATGCTTCTGTTTAGGTTTTTGGACTGATCATCAAGAGTTCCTCCACTGTTTAAGAGGGGGGAAATTGTATCTTGTTTTTCAACTTTCTCTCTTCTTGCTTTTCTCAGTGCTGTTATATTGACCCAAAGTAATCAATTACTTTTTGCACACGTTCGATTCTATATTTAGTCACCAAAAATTATTAATTTCTTAGTTAGCTT